TGTGAGAGTGCCGTAGAGGTCACACTGAGAAGGAACCATCGCAGCCTGTCCACCAGTCACTGAAAATCCTATGAAGATCGGCTTGTCTCGTCAGCTGGCGACTCTTCAAGCCACAACTTCTAACACGTGGTAGATTGGGGGGCGCATATTCAGTAATTATTACGTAGGAAACTGAATATTTATATATCTATACAAAAGCCGTTAGATCATGGCTCAGAACACGCAACCTGGGTGTTGGCAAAGGTTACTTGAGAATTGCGGCATAAAAAATTGCCTGCAAAGGAGCATGCAAATCAAAGGACCGGGAGTTAACAGGACAAGGTCAGGTTTGCAACACGGTTCAGCTATCTGTACAGGGCGGATGACTCCCTTTGTGTACAAACTATATTGACAAGGTTCGGTTACGCTGCCCGGGTCTAAAGTGTAAACGTATAAAGTAAGCCGAAGAAGGATGTTGAAATTGTTATTTGAAAAGTGGACGAAGCTAAAACGGAAAAGGGCTACCTGATGTTTCAGTTTAGAGTAAGGGTTAGTTTTAGGGTCTGGGTTAATATCAGGATTAGAAGTTACCGTAGGGTTAGGGTTTGCGTTAAATTTAAGGGTTCGGGTTAGAGTTAGGGTTAGGTTTACGGTTAGAGTTGGGGTTTGCATTACGGTTTAGGTTTACGCTTAATGTTAAGCTTGGGGTTAGGGTTCCGGTTACGGTTAAGGTTAGGGTTTGAGTTTGGTTTAGGGTTAAAGTTAGGCTTAGGGCCAGGGCTACGGTTTGTGTCGCGTTAAGGGTTAGGTTTAGTGTTGAGGTTACGGTTAGAATTAACGTAAGGTTTGGGGCATTGTGGCCCCTCGTGTCCTGTCAGCCAGGTCTTTCACTGGGATTCTAGGCTTCTTCCATTCTCTTGGCAGAATCTCCATGCATCAGGTTGCCCTTTTTCGTTTTAATTTTACCCACTTTCCTACTAACGACTTCAGGATCCTCCTTTGGCTTACCTCCCTTTCAGTTGCCCCATTGCGCTTACACTTTGGACCCGGAGAGCATGGCCGATCCTTGTCGACTAGTTCTAGGTTGCAGAGTCTTCGAGTTGTTCTTGTAGAAGCAGGAACTCCGGAGGCTCCCTTCATGTCAAAAAATTACTGTGATATAAGACAGGAGTATTTTCTTGTCTGCCTTTTACAGTCATTCATTTTGTGTTCACAGAATATACTCGCATCCACAAGCACATGTGGGTTCACAAACGCAGTTTGAGCTGTCCCTCTAACTGAAAGGGCTTTTGTAAAGCTGTCAAATATGCGCAGTGCTCTCAATGTTTTAAATACTACCCCCCCCCCCCCTAAGATACCATAACCAGCTTTTCTGGTGACTGAATGTTCGATCTCTCTACCCAAAGAACTGGTGCACTTCAGAACGAAACGGGCTGGAAAGCCTATTTAACAAGGATTTTCTTGCAATAGGCAAACTGTGAGTAGAGCGTCTCGCTAGAACTAATTTTCCACGTTCTTTCAAAGAGAATTCAGGCAAGGTTGCGTTTGTGTTGTCTCAGTGAGAAATTCAAGAATAGCAGATATTGATCTTTTCGTGTGTTCTTGAGGAGGGCTGACTGTCTAACTACCCTGTCTTTCTTTCGACGCACAAGGATATCTAAGGAAGACAGTCTGTTGCTCCGTCCCACTTCAGCTGTGAACTCCTCGTATTCACATTTAAACACGTGTATCGTTTAACCTACCAGTGCTGGTATCGTAGGTACATTGAAGACGAGTTACCCAAATCTCCCACTAGCCGCCATTGTTTCTGCTGCCCCACGCGGCACAAGCGCCAACACGGAGCAGTGACCTGGCAGCAATTCGTCCCTCCAGGACATTCAACTGAACCACCAATTCTCTTAGATTATGGCTGTATTAAAGAGCGGACACAATCACATCATGTCAATCCCCGCTCCGCACATGTTTGTATCTTTAAGACTGCAGATTCCGTGTCCTGGTCGCGAGTGGTAATCACCGGGCTGTTTTCCGTTGACGCTCGGTCAGCCGTCGTCAGCATCGACCACTGAGATTATTATGGCTCCCCAAGCACTCATGCACACCGAGATGTGGTAATCTTTTGCTAAGTTTGATCTATTTATTTCTGAAGGCACGGTGATGTTCCCCCTCTTCCACTTCACTCAGAATCACACCTGGACTTTTATTCCAGTCAGTAAGAAAAACTCCACAAAATGACCTGGTGAGGATTGTGCGAATGAGCTAATCCAAAGCACCTCTTCATTAGAGAGGAAAGCAGTCACTGAGTTAGTAAGTCCGCTTTGAATTGTCTAAGCAGTCAGTGTGTAGGCCCTTGATATGGTTTTGCTCCCATGCTGTCGCGTCTGGGAGTTTCACGGCTCTCCTCAGTCCACCTCCCGCACGCGTGGCAGTCAATTTAAGTTTAAATTCTACTCCGACTCATAATCCACTTTTAATACTGGTGATTTCAAATTCTCGTCCCAACACACAAACTGTGCTATTTATATAGGTCGTTCGGAATGAGAACGAACAGATTGTTAAACGGTCAAAAACAAGTGGCAAACGAAAAACATGATAAGATTCATAACAAGCAGCTATTTATAGCAATAAATGGTTCAAATCCGTAGTTGGTAATTACATCTGGCCGTCTGGTATAAAACACAGGAACAGCTCAGCACATATCCTGAAGCACACCCGTCGGAGTTGTTGACAAAAACACACTTCAGCTGCTCAGACTGGCTTAGACAATAATGCAAGTTTATCGTCGAAAACTTATGGACTCAGTTTATGACTTTCGAGCAAATGCCTAGGAGTGGATGTAGCAGGCGAATCCAACAGAATACACCGTGAGGTGTGACGAGGATGAAAAACAACTGTTAGTTTTAGCACGTGTGGGGTCGTTTATAATGCAAGTTTGAGCTGAAGAAGGAGACACGATCGCTGGGACAAGAGCTTTATTAGCCTGACGTTTCGGATTCCTGCTCCAACCCATCATCAGAGTCAAAAGGAGCTGAGTTAGCCCACGGGCTATTGAAGTTGGCTGAATCTTCTAAATATTCGACGTTTTGTGCCATCAATGATAAGAAAGCAACGGATGGGTGGATCCGATGGATGAACACTGAGACACTAGACTAAATTGGACATGAGAGAAGTTTTCAGACTCTAGGGGGCCTACGGTAATCGAGTTCGTAACTTCTTATGGATACAGGACTGTTACTGACCGTTTACTTTGCTGTACCAACCAAAAGTCCTGTGGGTGTGAAAATGCGGTTTTCTAATGGAGTTCTTGGCTTTCAACTTGAAAAGTTACACATGTAGTTGCGCTTGGGGCTCCGTGTCCTGTTCAGATACCTCAAACCAAAGCTCGGAATAATTTGCATCCAAATTATACCTCGGCAGCTGTAAACTCGGGTTATACCAAAAAGCACATTAGCAATACTGTGTGAATCACTGATCCCCACCCCCCTCCGGCTCCCCAAACACTTCATGGAGTTTAATATAATCGGTGAAACACCTCTTTCGACTTCTAGTTCGTAGCTCCGCTGTAAGGCAAACTTATTTGCAAAGTAGGCACTAGTAGAAGTGGACTTGCAGAAGTAAACATGTGGTTGTCTGCTGAAGTTCAGGGCGTTTGACGCGGAGGTTTACATAAACATCGGGGTCAGACGATGCATTTCCGATTCCGAAAGCTCGATGTTCGAAAACAGTTTAAATGATTGGCTTTCGCTAACCAGAGAGGTATAGTGCGGTGGGCAAGGCACGGAAATAAGCACTTCCCCGTATTGCAGAAGGCGCTGCGCTACACTACGGACGAATTAGGGTTTGGGTTGGGGTTAGTACTAGGGTCAGGAGGGTTGGGGCCATGGTTAAGATAAGGGCCAAAGTTGGGACGAAGAAACGGGCATTCATCTGAGTTTTAAGGCCGGGCTTCCTGTAATTATTCCCGTGCCCAATCGGACGGTGAAGCAACGAAACTACTCAGATTTCTGGGTTGGAGAGAGCTTCCGACATCTAGTGACAGGCGTATTATAACTGCGAAGTGTAAATCAAGAAGTGTGGACAAACATTTAAAAGTAATCTGTCAAGTAGAAGATACCGTCTACGTGGTATTGCAATACGAGTAATTCCGGGACATCATGCTGTGTCTATTTATTTTCCGCCGGTGTTTGCGGAGAAATCTCTCTGATAACAACAGTTAGACCAGTTTCAGAAATATTTGAGTAGCATGTTCATTCGGTAATCTTCACTGATATGCAGGAATTTAAAATGTAATTCTGAATAGTTCGTTCGACATGAAAAGTCAGCCCTGCTTTGGGAATAGGCTGTATTTGTCCAATTTTGCGGGGAAGAATCACCAAGCTTTTTAAGAAATAAGTTTTGACATTTTTTATTTTTGCGTACCCCCATTTGTCTGTTTGGGTAGAAGGAATCCGCAGGTAAATAGAATATTTTGGGCTGTTTTTCGAAAAATCTGGTATAGGACGTGTCTGTCCTGTCGCGCCAACTGGTCCAGTATGATAATCCAGCTTTCTCCTTTGTTTCATATTGTCTGACGGCGGTTTGGCGTCAAAAACCCGAAAATTCACAACTGCAGCTTGATTCTTCCGGAGGAACTCCTACTTCTTTCATTATATCCACTTGGAATGCATACCGCTTCTAATCCGCAGCATGTATTTGGGTGTCAAACGCTTGTTCCTACCAGACGATTAGAGAAATTCGCACAGAGACAGGCGACGACTTCCGAACATCTGAGCTTCCTCCATCGCTGTCACGATCACGGCGTGTTACCGAAGTCTCTTCGTTTCAAGCTGACGTTGCCGAATGAGACTGGGAGATTTTTGCGTGCACATACGAATGGCGTGTTTTGGGTGCCATGATATCTGACGTCCACAATCGTCTTCGCAGATTCGAAACAGTATTCCATGACCTTACAAATCAGTACGCTTCAGTCCTACTTGAAAACGTATTTGGGATGTGCAGTAAAGAATTAACGTCCACCACCAAGAATGCGCGACTGCTTTTATGTTGCTCATACGGGTCGACGCCTGGGTACCCGTATTAATGAACACAAACAGTCTGTCCGTCGCCTGGACCCCCTGTCTCTCGTCTTTGCGCACGCACTCGAGCGCGACCACCGATTCAGCTGGGATGGCACTGAGGTCGTCACCATGGCCAGCACAACGCGAACGAGGGAATTTCTCGAGGCCTGGTACTCCAATGCGGGTGGTATCCGCCGCCAGGTTGACCAGGACGCCATTTACATGGACATATGTTCACCACTTACTGACCCCTGCCCTAATCGCACATCAACGACCGCTAATCCAGCAACCCCGAGTCCAACCGATCCATCATCCACCCTCCCCCCCTCACACGGGACCGTAATTGTTCCACCTCCCCTCTCTTCCCCCTCTCGCTCAGAAGCCCACCATGACTCTGCGACCATCCCCCTCACACGCCAATGGTCAGTCTATCCTGTCGCGTCAACTGATCTGGTATGGCAATTTAACCGTCTCTCTTGCTTTCGTTTCGTCCTACTACGAGTTCATATCGTCAGCTCGAAAAGCCACAAGTACAACTCGATTTTTTCAAAGGAACCTCTTCCTTTTTTCGTGCACACGCACACGCACACAAATACGTTCAGCGATCGCCTTACGGGACACACGTGTCCCGCTTAATGCCTTGGGGGTCCAATCTCGAGTCCCGCCAGCAGCTGTGCGGTGGCTAGTAGTATAGGCAGAATAACATTACCAACAGAGGCAAGGCAGACTGGAATGGCCATTCCTGGCTTCTTAACCGTCATCAGCCAGCCACGCTCACCCTAGGGTTTTGCAAGCCCCGAGGCCCGATCCCGCAACCTGTTCGCTAGAAGTCTAACACCCTTAACATTGAATAACGGGCTTTTTGCCCTGTCGGTTGCGATCGGATATACTAACAATGGTAGATGGGCGCTCACCGATGAGGCTACGAGACGAACATGCTCCCTTTTCGGGCTTATTCTGCCTTCACTCAGCTAATCGTAACCCTGAGCACCAGTTCGGACCCCAAACGCAAACTTGTACGTTCACACAGCGCAGATGGTCCACAGACGGGGTCTACCAGATGGGTCATAAACACTTCATCTCAATGGAGTTCATCAGTGCCTCGCCACCTGCCACTCTCTGTCGCGGTCGATCGGATGTTCCTTCAATCCGGACTGGACGCACACCGATCCGTCGGCCTGCCAAAGCAAACAATCTTCATATGGGTTGGCGAGGTCATGAACAGGCAACCGTCCGTCAGGCCGAGTGTCCATATTCTCAAACCCAACCGTACTACTTACATAATCAACGTTTTCCGTCCTTTAAAAATATTAGCTTCTGTGCAGGCGTAAGTCCATATAAAGTGTTAATATGAAACTAAATGTTACCAGTCATCCCTAAAAACACAAACTGACATTGCAAATGTATTGGAAAACACGCGAAAATATCGGAGGAGGTTCTGAGAAAAACGGCCAGCACTGGCACATGTAAAAAAGCAAGCCAGATACCGTCTTTCATACTGTCTTCCAGTTGACAGTTTGCTCTGAAGAGGTTCAAGTAAATGTTGAAAGGTCTCGCAGCCTACCGTGAGTGATGATTTTTATCATCATCTGTCCGCTCCTCCCCCCCTCCCGGGACGTACGCTAAAAGCATACCCCTCAATGTGATTCACAGGACCCTCCCCCGGTGTTTCCCACATCTTTCCAAACGCCCTCGCGAGCAGCTGACTTCACCTTCCAAGCACTGTGCTAACAGGCGAATCGTCGATGTTAATGTGGGCTGCACACGCATACGTGTGCGCATTTGCCTGCCCCCTGTGCCCGGCACAGACCACGAGAATCCAACAGTGATCCAGGGTACTCACAGGTGGCAGGAACTTACGCCGCCGGTACACGATAGCTCGACCGTGGAGTCGCTGGTTTTCCGACACCACAGACCGAAATTTTGGCCTCGGTATGTGGATGACACCTTCGTCGTCATCGGACGGGATCAGGTGCTGACGTTCAAAGGACAACTTAACGCCGTCTTCCCGGACATCCAATTTACGATGGAGGAGGAGGAGGAAAACAATCAGCTGGCCTTCCTGGATGTCCTCGTCTGCCGCAAAGATTGTGGTGGCCTAAAAACCAAAGTGTTCAGGAAAGCGACAAATACGACGCAAATACTGAACTTCAATAGCAACCACCCGATCGGTCACAAACGCAGTTGCGTAAGGGCGCTATACCGGCTCGTTGAGACGCACTGCAGTGAAATGGAAGACAAGGTTGCTGAACTACAATATCTTCGACGGGTAATGAAAGCCAATGGTTACCCGCGCAGCTTTGTCAACCAGTGCATACGAAAAGGACACCAGAGACCAAATCCAACCGGACCCAAATTTTGGCGGGATCTTCCGTACGTGAAGAACGTCTCGGAAGCCGTCAGTCGTCTTCTCACTCCACTTGGAGTTGGAGTTGCACACAGGCCGGGAGCAACCATTAGGCGCCAAGTCATGAGGCCAAAAGACCCGCTGCCACGGCAGGACACGACTGGAGTCATTTACCGGATCCGGTGTAGTTGCGGACAAAGCAATTATGTCGGAGAAACTGGGAGATTACTCCGTACGCGACTTGCCGAGCACGCAGCAGCAGTGAGGCGGGAAGACGTTAACTCTCAGGTGGCGGCACACTCGACGGGACCCGGCCATATATTCAAATTTCAAGAGGCCGAAATCCTCGCAAGGGATGACAACCACGTGAGCCGCGAGCTGCTCGAATCATGGTTCTCAGGCCCGCAATCCATCAACAAACACAACGACCTCCCGGTACCCTATTCCGTATTGCGGTTTTCCCTGGGCAGGAGAATCAGTCACGTGGGGAGGGCGCGGGCGAGCAATCATCACGGTGACAGTGAGCCAGTTTGCCGAGCAATCGTCACACCAGCATCCAGCACGGATGACGAAATCGCGGCAATTTACGACTCGGACTCAGACCGCCAAGCCACCGCCGCATCAATTACGACCCCAGCGGCGATTGCGAGAACTGTTAATTGCAGTGCGCATACGGTCCCACGGCAGCCACGTGCCATAAATACTGCACTCCTGGTGCCACCTTCACGTCTATCTGCTAATGTCTCTGATGATGGATTCGAGTGAGAATCCGAAACGTCAGGCAAATAAAGTCATTGTCCCAGTGATCGCACCTTCACCTTCTGAGCTCGACCGTCGTTGCCGACGATGTCCACCATGCCTGCCTCGCGGCAAGGTGGAGCAGGCACGGTGGATTGCGCGTGAACTAGTTTATAATGATAGTAAGTTTGCACAGCATCTACCGCACTCTCTTCTCCACCCCCACCTGGACCCCAGTGTCCAGGCGGAGTCAAGAAGACCGGAGGCGGGGTGGGACGCAGGTGGATGGCACGGTCGAGCCCGCACCTTGGCACTCCACTCCACACCTCCTGGTCCACACAGCAAATGACCAGGATTTTGACTAACATCAACAACATTGGGGGGCGGGGGGTCCCAGTGTGCACGACATCTGCCGGCAACCGGGTCTGCTACCAAACTCCTAAATGCTGGCACTTGTGAGGGTGCGCAAATCCGGTAACGCCTGTCAGAATCCCATATAGTTTCCGTGTTGGTCCAGCGCATCTACCACGTGGCCCGTTTGGGGGGCAGGCCGTCGGTACACGCGCCGGTTCGGTCTCACAATCAACGCCCACGCTTTCGCAGCTGGAGGACAAACAAACAATTGCATTAGCCTGTGTCAGAGAGCAAACAGGCGAACAAATTGCGTTTTGTTTTGTTGTTCAGCTGCCCCCCCGCTGTTAAAAAGCCAACATCTGACATCGTTTGCGTCGGGCAGCCCAATTATTATTAAATCACAACCCAGAGAGCGTGAGAGCGCGAAACAACGATAGAAAAGTGGACACAAGGACTTCTGACTCGGAATAAACTCCCAGGTCTCCCGGCGCGTGCATTCGGGCTTCGATAGGCAGGTATTGGCAGACGAGCCGGTAAAATATCCTTCAACCGTCTTTGGTAGGCCGTCTCTCACCTGCCCAGATCCCGGTGAGACGGATCACCACTGCCGTCAAGATCGGAGGTCAGATCTCTTAGTCAGGCGGGCAAGAACTTCCCAGTGGAATGAATTTGGGGATGAATGGCAAAATAACTGTCTGTTTGACGCTGTTTTGTGCCACCAACAAGGAAACAGCCGACTCACCTCACCTTTTTTGCACCACTTTGATGACGCCTTTAGTAAACAGGTTATAAGATGGCTGTCACCAAGTCACTGTGACAACAACGTCCTCTGGGGATGAGTAAACATGACATCAAGTCTCGAAAGACTAGCCTATCACAGAACTTTCCAAACTCGGGGCTGAATGAAGAGGGTAGCTGGAACGGAAGTTTGAATCGCATTTCGTAGCCGTACCTGCAGTATGCAGGCCCCAGTCTAACCGCTAACCCCTAATCCTAACCCCAAACCTCAACCCCTAACCCCAACCGCTAACCCTATCTCCTACGAAATAGGGTCTTGCCAAAAAATTGCCAATTCTTGTCTGTCTACAGTAAGTTGGCTAACTCATGAAATGTCCACCGAAATTCCGAAATGCGCTTTCGTTTCGAAAAGATTAATGCGGTAGGGTTGTAAAACTAACCATCATGCAGCAGAATTCAGTTACCTCAGGATGCCGGTTTTCGTACAAACTTCTTTCCGGCTGCATCTAAAAACCATACTCCGTAAAAAATGACTACATAGGCAGCATGCATTTTTTCATTGATTTTCGATGCCCTTAAAGATTCGATTATAGCTCATGGAAAACAAGCATAAAAATATCCATTATCTTTCTGAATCAGTAGAAAAATGCGTCTTCTTTCAATTTTACCTTCGAAGAAATGGTATAATTCGGTCTTATAAAATCTTTCCAATGCCCGAATAATTTTGAACTCGACCTGCCGTTACACTTGCATTCAGGGTTCCCAAATTACAAGCCGTATAGTTTCCGCGTACAGTAAACCATGCATTTCTTTACAGTATTAAGAGGAAATTATATGGGGTTCATAAAATTAAGCAGTGGATCTGAGCCGCATTCTTAACTTTACAAGCCACCTTGGGTAAACGCAGAAACATGACGTTTTGCGAAGGGCCATTTCACGGTATTAAAAAATCCCACAATTAGAAACTTTTTGAAAACCGAATTATACCCTTCCTTCGAGTATAAGATTGAAAGAAGACGCAATCTTCTACCGAATGTGCAAAATAATGAATAGTTTTATGCATGTTTCCCATGAAATATAATTGAATCATTGAGGTAATCGAAAATGAATTTAAAAAATGCGTGCTACTTAACTAGTCATTTTTTACGGAGTACGGTTTTCGGATACAGCAGGAAGGAAGTTCGTTCAAAATTCGACGTTCTGAGGTAACTGAATTATTATATAATTTCGCTGCATGATGACTGGTTTTACAACCGTGCTTAATTAATCTTTTCGAAACGAAAGCCCATTTCGGAATTTTTGTTGAGATTTCATGAGTTAGCCCACTTACTGTATGTCTATTGACGGACTTTCCTCACCATCTACTTCTAAATGCTATAGGACGTCAGACTGGCACTAGCTCCAGAGTTTGAAAATGAATTAGGTCAAAAACTCTCCATTCTGTAGTCGGGCCAAATCTTTTCACGCCGCCATGCATGCAAAAAGTGGTCACCCCATGATGTCGTGGTTCGGACCCAGCCGCATGAGTGGGCGTATAGGCATGCATGATTGGGAAATATTGGTCATATTGAGAGGGGAAGAGTACAATTTTATAGTGAAACAGACATTATTTTTCGGCAAAAACTTGAGCACCATTACAATGCAATCAAAGAATTCAAATCTTATGCCAGTTATAGAGAGAGGTTAAGGCAAAAGATTTATTTCTTAACGGATGTGAGGGGTAGTCAACAGACAATAGTCAAAAGCAAGGAAAAAAAATCCGTTTTCAGCCTCCGATTTAATCAGATCCCTGTCTCAAAGCAAAAAGCATGTCAGTGCATGAATAGAATGGAAAAAAACGTCTCGATTTTAAAAGTCCGCTCCGAGTAGATGAGCCATTGTCACTAAAATTTTTTCCACGGATTCCGACGGTCTCAGACTGTAGAAGTGGAAACGAGTGAAAATCACTCCGGATGCCTCAACTAATAGGACATCGCCAACCTTCTAATAAGCTTTCCTCCAGCCTATTCATTTCGTGAGGCTGGAAGCTGAATTGTCCCCAACAAAGGGGCTGTTACTGGCAACGCCACACTAACTGGATTTTTCTAATAAGGATTTCCTTTGGTCTCGAGGTCCATAAAACTTTTGCCCCACTTTCACTCAAGTAACCTTCCACCGTAGAGGCTGTGCTTTGTCTGTAGTTCTAAGCGTACAGTAGTCCCGTCCCAGATAAGGAGGAACAACATGCACTTAGTATTCGCCAGTTCTTCGCGCCTTCATGGGAGACATTGGGCTGCCGAACGGCTCGGTCAAGAAAACAACCATGAATTAGTCGACCGGATTAAGAGTCCGCAAATCGGAACTCCATCCCGATGTCTGTCTAATCTACGGCTCTGCCTATTTCTCCCACCTGGCAGAAATTTATTTTTACGGCGGCAGCAGCCGAGACGGGACGCATTTTATGGGAAGGGGAAGCGACCGACGCCTGGTGTGAAAATTCTGATGCATGCCTTATCGGTACTCACAAAGGTGGTAGGAACAGGACTTGGTGGATGTATGCTATCTGGAAGAATCGCCAAATTCAGTTCCTTCGCCACTCTCACTGGTTTAATCACCATTACAACCAGTAAATGATTCTGCACCACATCAGACGGCTAGTTGTCATTCATTCTGAATTTATACGAACACCTACGCATACCTAATAGGGTTCAGGATCACAGTTTAGTCAAGATCATCGAACATATTCGATCAGTGGACGTGTATACTAAGAGGGTATATTAGTCCGGGGTATTCTGTCTTAGTATATTCTGAAAGTGTTTCTTAAAGCAAAACTGAGCACCACATGGCGCCAACCTTAAAGCATATTTTAAAGGGAGACAATAAATCCCTCAGGATGACTGTTTTCTGGGCTCGGTCTCCAAAAAAGTTGCCACATTCCACTTACATCGAGTGACCGATCTCATGAAATATTGGCCGAAATTCTGAAATGCGTTTTCGATTTGGAAGGATTACTTAGGTGGGGTCGTAATACTGATTAGCACGCAGCATAATCCAGTAATATTTCGGACTCTTCAGGATGTCGGCTTTTGAATGCACTTCTTTTCGATCTCCTGCAGAACCCAAACTCGGTAAAAAAAAGACTACTTAAGTAGCATGCGCTTCTGCATTGATTCTCGATGGTTTTATAAATTCATATATATTTGATAGAAAACATGCACAAAAATACGCTATCTTCTACTCATTTTGTGGCAGATCACGTCGACTTTGCATTTTATGCTTGAAGACAGGATATATTTAGGTTTTAAGACAGTTTTCCCATTCCCGAATGATATTAGGCCAGATCAGCCGTTGCATTAGCGTTTAGTGATTTCATTCTACAAGGCGCATGCTTTCTGTGTAAGGAAAATAATTTATTCTTCTATGTCTTTAAGAAGATACCATTTAGAGTTCATGAAATTTTGCAATGAGTGCAGACTGTGTTGTACATTTCATGAGAAGCAATGGTAAACAGACAGGTACGATGCTGTATGAATGTACATTACACGGTCTTAAAAATCGTATAATTAAAAACGTCTTTAAAACCTCAATATATCCTTCCAAATCGAAAACGCATTTCAGAATTTCGGCCAAAATTTCATGCGATCGGTCACTCACTGTAGATCGGCAAAGTTGGGAGATCCGAATTGTTAATTTGAGAATCAACAAAGGCTTACCGGAACAGGTTTATTTAGATGCTGATGTTTCGGAGGTCTTGGTCGGCTCACCATTGTCAAAGCGTAAAATGCACTTAGTCAAACAGAAACAGAAGTGCGTGCCGCGTTAGTCGGCGTCGTGCTGATTGATTTTTTTCTCTCACTGACTCGGTCTTTTGGCTGATGTTTGGCGGGCCTTTAGGCTGCCTGTGTTGGCGGAAGGTGGTTAGGCTTCGATCGGGATTGGTCAGTCTGGCGGCTCTT